CTGTGATGGACTGCTATCCTGCCCTGTGATGGACTGCTATCCTGCCCTGTGATGGACTGCTATCCTGCCCTGTGATGGACTGCTATCCTGCCCTGGGTAAACTGCTACTTCCTAGCCTCTTTTTGCAGGCATAGCTACAGGTTCATATATGCAATAAAAATTATTTTCCAATTAGACGAGTCAGACACATTCCACAGTAAAAAGCCAAGCCATAACCAGGTGCTTAGACAAGAAAATATACTTCACATTAAAGTTTTACCATTTATTAATTTACATAACTGTACATTGATAGAAGCAAATTAAGTAGTTAGCTGAAGTACTCCAGCTGTAGTACAACGGATACAGTTACAACTGTGGTAATCCAAGCCCAGTTCCCTAATCAATATACTACATACTCCCCCAAACACGTGAACACTTCCTTTCTGTAGAAAGGAGCTGCAAATGGATACTAAACAAACAAATGCATCACCCATTAAAAACTTCAATAAAACTCACATCAGTAACAGAAAACAGTTACATTTAATAAGGTGTATACTGTGACAGTGTGTTGCTCTGCAGGTTAGGACTCTGTGCATATGATTGGAAGGTTGCCGGTTCACATCCTATAGTTGGCAGAGTGATCTCACTGCTCAAAGTGATTGCAAAGCCCTTATCCCAAATTACAGTGATCCCCTATTATATCGCGGTTCAGCTATCACGCCCCTGCTATATCATGGATTTTTCCCCGACGCATCACAGTTCTATGCATATCGTGTACCTTGCTTGTGGTCCGATTGTTGTGAGCGAACTTTCGTTTTAAGCCTTACGATATAAGGCTTAAATTATAAAAAATGTTGATTTCTATATCGCAGATTTTCACCCATCGCTTTTAAAGCATGTGGGAGGGGTATTTTAAGGCTCAAACTATAAGAAAATGTTTATTTATTTGGTAATTCTATATTGCGGATTTTCACCAATCGCTGATGGGTCTGGAACGTAACGTCCGCGACAGGCGGGGGATCACTGTACTCCAGGGACAGGCTGACCCAGTTTCCTTACTTGTACATTGTTTTGGATAAAAGCATCTACTAAATATTCTTATTAATGTCAACAACTCCTCATAAACTACCAATAAGTCAAAGATTGACTCAATGTCTGTTTTTCCACTAGGCTTGCTATGTTTTACGGTTTACCGTCATTCAATTTTAATTCAATTAAGAGCCATTGTATCACTATTTTTGATTTTCATGAAATTTGGTATGTGAATTGCACATATCTTCCAGGGCTCTGATCTTTTTTCAATTTACCTTTGGTGCCTTTTCTACATCGCAGCCATAGCTGACACGTGTACTCCAAAATGATTGCCATCCTGCTGCACTGACCTCTATGGTGACAAAGTGTTTTGAGAAGATCATGAAAGACTTCATCTCATCTCGGACCAGCTCTTTAGACCCTCTTTACTTCCTTCCAGCCCAACAGGTGCCCACCCTGCGGGACATCTACATCCAGTCATGCAGGTCCAGGACATGCAGTATTATCAAAGTCTCTCACCCCCCNCCCCCCCCCGCCATAAGCACACTCAGGCAGGTGACTGCAAAAGGAGTGAAGAGAAGCTTCTACCTCAGCGGTGACCAATCTTATCCACAAAGGGCCGGTGTGTATGCAGGTTTTTGGGTTAACCTTTAGGTCAGGTGTTCAAACCCAGGTGTGAGGACTATTTAGCCAATCAGCCCTCTAATTAGTAATCTAATTAGGGAGCTGCAGCGAAAACCCGCATACACACCGGCCCTTTGCGGATAAGACTGGCCACCCCTGTTCTACCTCCAAGCCATCAGGACCATTAACACTGCCAAATAAAATAAGTCACAACTGCAACCTACACTTTAGATCTCTTCTCAAATATTTTTTATCTTTTTTTTGTTTTACTATTTATATATTTCTATATTTTAGTATTTTTGCTAACATATTAGTTTATATTATTTCCTTATCTTTCTACCTTGTTCGCTGAGAAGCAGCAATCGCATTTTGCTACTGGTGTACCAGGACATTCATGCATGTCACACATAAAAATCTTTAGTCTTGAATCTAATAAAGAAGTTACAGCTCATACAAAAACACTTTGAATTACCTTTCTTTTCTTTTTTTTTTTGCTATCCATAGTGTAGAAAACGCACTACATAAAGAAAATGTTTTAAAAATAAGAAACATTTCTGAGCCCAGAATTCACAAGCCAAATTTGATCTAAATCAAAATGGTGATACAAATCCTTTTTTTTTTTTTTTTATTTGTCGAATTAAAATGGAATAAGGGACGATTTAAATCCAGAAAACAGAAACACAGTGAAAATTTTAAGTTAATATAACCCATCTGCAGCTGTACGTTGACGTACCCACAGTTAGACATGAAGAGAGTGGAGTATATAAGGGAATAACAGGAAAGTGAGCAGCCTGGGCTCACGCTCCTACTTTCCTGACAGTCTCTTAGAGGGTGGTGCTGGGAGACCGGCTCAGAGCCTCCTCACACTCTAGACAGTAATACGGCTGGTCCTCCGACAGCATCCGCTGGTACCTCTTGAAGTAGTCAGAGTGCTTGTACTGCTGGCCGCATCGGCCGCAGCGGTAGCTCTTCTCGCCGTTGTGGATGAGCTGGTGACGATGCAGGTTGCTGAAGCTCTGGAAGACGTCGCCGCAGACGGGGCAGCGGCAGGTGAGCTCGCCCGTGCACTGCCGCTGGTGGGTCTCCAGGCTGCGGCGCAGGGAGAAGCGCTTGTGGCAGCGCGTGCACTGGAAGGGCTTCTCCCCTAGATGCATGCTCTGGTGGCGCTTCAAGTGGTCCGTGCGCCGGAAGGTCTTGCCACAAACGCTGCACCGGTACGGCTTATGGTCCGCCTCCAGATGCTGAAAGCGGGGGAAGTTCACGCGGGGGGTGAAACACTCAGCGTGGATGGTGAAATGCTGGGCTGAGAAGGACCCCATGCGGGAGCTTTCCTTGCCCGACCTGCTTTCGTAGCACTGGGCCATCAGAGTGTGTGGCTGCGAGCTGGTCTGTCCCCAGTGGGCTAGTTCTTGGGAAAAGCCACACTGGACAGAATAGGAAACCATGCCAGAGTTCCCACCAGTCTCATCCTTAAAATTTACCTGTGTGTCATCAGAGTCTGCAGCACTGAAAAGTCCAAAGTCTGGGAACACTCTGTGGACATGGATTGGCTCTAGCATCTCCTCCTTGATGGGAACACAGCTCACTCGCTCACAGGACTCCCTCGCCAGCTTCAGCTCGGGAAGCTCTTCCTTTATGGACATCAAGTCCACCTGGAAGAGTTCCTGTTTGATGGACACCGGCTCCAGCAAGGGTTTCATCTTCTCTGGCATTTCCTGTTTGACGTGCAGCACTTTCAGCTCGGGTACCTCTGTGTTCCTCTGTAGAGACTCCATCATTATTGTGTGATGCCCACAGGGACCTGATAACATAATAAAAACCACAACTGTAAGTGTTTAAAAATTCTACAAACAATATGCAACCAGAAGAATGTGAAGTGATTCTGTTCACATTGTTGACTTACTTCTTCTTGTTGGGTTTTGCTGATTATGCAGTGTTATAAGTGCATTTTTTTCCAAATCCTGCTGAGACAAGGTAATGAATTGAGGGTACTGAACTGAAAATGCATACTACAGCATATTGTAATGACAGGGCTAGACAACATATATATATATTTTTTTATCCATTTGACGGTGATAAACATCTTAAAGATATATTTTACGGAGAATATTCTGAATATCAGCGCTAAGGACAATTAATTACGTCTAAAGGCAATTAAAGTGAAAACATTTGCCGAGCTCGTCACAGATTATGCTAAATGACATCAGAAACAAATTTATTATTTGTGCCAACCCCGTTCCCAGTGAATGAATCACTTAATAAAAGCAGGTACTCATACCGAGTCGAGTTTTATTTGGCAGCAGTGGCAGAAACAGGTATTTTATTTAGATGTCACACCGATATGCGTAAATTGTTACACTAGAGACACGTAATGGTACAGATTGTCACATTGATTAAATAGATGAGCCGGAACTGTTCTCCAGTTAGACGCGACTCTAATCCTTAACGATGCGATTTGTTGAACAATAACGTAACTGGCTAGCAGACTAAGCAAACGTAGGTCTAGCCGTTTCTTGCTAGCGTAGTAAGCTAGCTAACAGTAGACATTACTGGCATAAAACACGCTGCAGCTCACGAATGAAAAATTTCGTGTAAACACGACGAGCGCTTTTGTAAATAATGTGAAGAAATAAAAATTTTCCAATAATTACTTTAAACATAAATTCCGAGAACTCAGTCATTCCTATTTTCTTGCTAACCTGCTAGCTATCTTCGGTTGGATATGCTTGTCTCCTATCCTGAAAAAAGGCAGCAAATTTTAAAACGCATTTAGAATTACTTTAACTGAGCATGCTGCGCTACTAAACATCCATGTATGCTAACTTTCCTTGTAATTCCTCCACCTGCAAGCTAATAAAAATCCCGCATATATCCGCCCTTTCCAAGGCCCTCTTCTGCCCTCCACTTCTCAGGCAGCTTCGCTGTTTTTGGACCGACACAATGGATGATTTTAATTGGTTGCGCGAGGCACCTACTATTTTGTCATTGGCTGCCCAAGAATGGTTCGTAACTCTGGATTGCCCGTACGAAAAAAAATTAATGAATGGTTTAATGCACTGGCAGATAACCAACTAACTGAAAGAATCGCGCACATATTGTTTAATACTTATCAGTTATGATCCACCTACATACATAAATGTGAATATTGTTTTATAGTAGTCTTTCACTCAGATTTGTAACATCGATTATCATTGGCGGTGTGTGCAGGGAGGTGGTGTGCTGCTCACTGCATGGGCTAAGTCTCTGTGCCTGTGATTGGAAGGTTGCTGGTTCAAGCCTGAGAAAATAGTCACATGTCTGTGGTTAGGCAAAAGGACAATTTCCCCATGGGGATTAATACCAAATCACTGTCATCATCATCATCTACAGTTCCTGGTGTGGGTCACAGTGGGACACGACCACCTGAAGGACATCTATGCTGAAATGTGCAGATCCCGGGCCACCAGGATCACTAGGGACTCCAGCCATCCCACCCACAAACCGTCAGGCCACTGAGGTCAGGGAAACGCCTCTGCAGCCTGAAGTCAAGAACTGAACGGTTTAGGAGGAGTTTTTACCCATAAGCAGTGAGACTCCTCAACTGCAGCACATAATGGACAACGACACACACACAGTCTTCTACTATCCATTTCCATAACTTATAAAATATCTGCATATCTGCACTTTATGGCACACCTACAGTGAGATTATATCTTCACAGTGCAATTTATACTTCATATTTATACTTTCACAGTGCAACGTTATGTTATGTATACTATGTGTACTATATATACTATATATACTATATGCACTATGTCATTCTGTGATGTTAGTACTTATTCATTTTGTATGTATAGCACAACCGGGGTACTTTTTGACAGAAAAAGCATTTCACTGTATGTTGTAGCAGCTATAACTACATGTGACAAATAAAGAATCAATCAATCAATCAATCAATCTATCTATCTATCTATCTATCGATCGAAGGAAAATATTCAGTACATTTCAGCTGTAGTGCATGGCAGTATAACTTTGTTGGTTGTGGGCAGGCACGGAGTGGAACTAATTTTCAGACCGGGAGTTTTCTGTAAAGACCAGCCCATTTTGCCTTCGTTCTGGGGAAACTTTGATAAATGATGCCACATTTCGAGCCGTTATTATCCCGATACATTTACTGACATTTCAAGAAGCAATACATAATAAATAGCATATTGAATTGTCAAGCAGTCTGACTTTTTCAGCCTTACCTACCATCTTTCTAACATCCATCGTTGTGCATTTCACTATACAGAGCAGTAGTGGTCTGCTGTGAGCCATTCCACCGAATGGGTGCCATTTGCTTGCTGTAACTCTTCCAAATTAAACTTATGTCACTCGTGACATATAAAAAGCATGTTTAAAAGCATGTCAACTAATTCCTTTGAGGTTCCCTCAAGAAAGTGTTTATTTTAAAGAAATGATTGACTACATGTTCAAATTATTGATATTTATGACTAAAAAATCACTTTATATGCATGCACGTTGTATTTTTCTAAAAGATGCAAAGCCATTTTTATCTTTTCAAGAAAACCCAAACCTGAAATTGATTACATTTTTTTATCATATAATTTATTAAACAAATGGATAAATGATGGACCAAACATAATTGGAAAAAAAGTGGTTTATTTTTTAAGAAAAATAATCAAGTAACAGGAATGAACATTCGGTAACAGGAATGAACACGGTAACAGAGACATGTGTGCTCGTGTGTGTGTCTGTGTGTGTGTGCGAGCAGGTTTACCTATCCTTATGGGGACATAATGTCCCGATAACGTGATAAATATCTGTTTTTTTTCCTTTATGGGGACTGGTTTCCTGGTCCCCATAAGGGAAAACTCAATTTTATAAAAATCGGTAACTGCTATGAAAAAACTAAAAATGCAAAAACTCTTGTATTTTGTTAGGTTATGGTTATGGTTAGGGCAGGGTGGGGGTTAAGGTTGTCATAGTTAGCGTTAGCATTTTTCCCATTGAAATGAATGAGCGGTCCCCATAAGGATATGTTTACCCTACACGTGCGTGCGTGTGTGTGTGTGTGTGTGTGAAAACAAACTTGTCTGGCCTTTTCTAAGAGATATTTTCTAGTGTGGCCCAGAGCTCTTTCTCGATTTCCTGTGACTGGCCTCGGGGGTGGGATGGTACACAAAAAGGTACCAAAGCACGTCTTCACATGCTGGCCAGAGAAACCTGTTGACCCCAATTTTGTGCATGCAATGGACCTCAACATGTGTTTCACTTGTATCTATGGTGATGCCAGGCTATAGGTCACCCTCGTACTTCACCATACACCATTTACCAACAACTTCCGGACTTTGCCACTGAACTTCCATGGCTGTGGGAGCCGTCTGTTGATGACTGAACGTGAAATGCTTTGCATTCAAGCAGTCACAGGTCAGGTTTTGTTTTGTTGTGCACAAGCAGCTGACGTCTCTGTATGTCAGCTCTCCTTGGGCTACGGTCACGGCCTGATGCATCCTCATGGTGAATGGAATTGGTGGCACATCATTGGGCATCTCCAAAAGTGCCTTCTCGACTGCTTCCTCACTGACAAAAAACAACTTGATTGTTGTTTCTGCCTTTTGCAACACAGCATACAGCTCTGCAGCATTAGGAATGTCTGTCCCTTTGCTGAGCAGACTGTCAGCCCTCCTCTTCAGAGCTCCTCCCACACCATCTGGGGCACCCTTCCCATTGCTCACCTCAAAGAAGTTCCACGTCCCAGCAGTGAATCCTCTTCTGAACAGCTCAGTACAAAACATGAAAAAAATCCCTCACTGTCTATACTGAGTGCATTGGGCCATCACTGTAAAAATGGATGGTGGAGACCTCTGGATGTGCAATCTGCACGTAATTAAGCACTGGTGACAAGTGCTGCCAAATTGCTGGTGGGCCCTTTTGTCTTGAGGGGGACACTGTGCAGAAGGACATCGGGCGGGGGGATGTATGCACATAAAACACACCCGTGTGCAGTGTTGCCTGTTGGTGTGATGCTCCGAAGTGAACTGCCCGTATTTCTGTGCTGTACTTGCAGAGGTAATTTTCGGAAAAGTCAACATGAATTAGACATTCATGTGCTTTCAAGCCATGTCTCAGTGCCCTGTAGTGGCTAATCTGATTATTGATGTTGTAAGTGTGTCTCTTAAACCTATGCAGTTGTAGGTTCAGCAGTTCCAGCAGTTCTTCTTGTGTGGTCTGGAACTCTTTTTTGATTATGATTTTAGATGTTTTGCCATTGGGATCATTCTTGTGTTCCTTATCCACTATTGCCCACTGGAGATAAGTCACTTGACTCTCTGCATTGTACTGGCTAGAGACTGGGCAAGAGAGGTCCTTGCATTCAGAACATTCGCCGTACATGCACTTAATGTTTTCCGTGTCGCATGTGATGGCTTTCACAAGGTCGTGCAGATTGACGGTGCTGATCATTTTCAAGTGGTGCACGTCGAGCATGATAGCGTCGCTGCTTTTCTGCAGCACTTAGTGGTGGATTGGCACCCTGTAAGTATGGTATCCACATTGTGAAACTGATCTTAAATCTCAACAAATTCGGTAATTTCAACTGTAAAACTTCAAAGTTGAATAGTATTACACTGACTAATGTTCATCAATAAACCAGAGGGCTCCACTCAGTCCTGTTACTGGCACTCAGTCCTGTTACTCTTTATATATATTAACAGGACTGAGTTTTTAGTATAGAATTAGCAAAAACATGAAATATAGCTACATGGTGGCTATGCTAATAGCACGAGAACACTGAGCACATTCTAGTGATCTACCAAAAATTTGTATTTTAAAAATAAACAGATAATATCCAAGAATTAATTTAGGTATCAGGACAGAACATTGAGGTTGACCTCCTCAGTCATAGTTAAAATTTGATCAAATATAGAGGGAAAAAAAGGAGGGAACTTACTTTTGGTCTACCCATGGCCTTCAGAATATCCAACTGATGTAACTACCTGTCGAACATGTGACTTGTGGAATGTTCCAAATTTTTCAGATGGGGTAATGTTTTAGGGTAACAGGACTGAGTGAAAACCTAGGGACACAACTAAAATGTGTATTTTAACGTAAATATTATGGTTTTCTTATGAAAAAAATATTTTCAAAGCATAGATGGGATTTGGAGTCACACAACAATGCAAAAAAAATTAAATCTCTGAAGGATTTTAATATTTATATTTCAAGGTAAAGTGTATAGTTAGAGAGCGGGGACAGGTAACAAATGCTATTTTTCCAGTGTTCTAGGTAGTCTTTATTAATGTTTTTAATTATATATCTTAAATTTGCAATTAGGTCAATGTACAAGACACTATGCTTAATAATAAAATGTATTTTACAGTTATTTTTTGTGCACATTTATACATGTAATTTCCTGGGGACGGAAATGGCACCCATTCGGTGGAATGGCCCTTGTAAGTGAGAAAACTCACTGGTATTCGCCAGCTTCTTGTTCGCATGGTTCATGCCAACTTAAATAGGGGGTGCTGTTTCGACAGAATCCTGCAGAGGGCGCTGTGTATGGTAAATCGAAGGCTCCAAGAATGTTTTCAGCTTTTGATTTGTCTAAGGAAATGGTAGTAATTCAAAAGTTTTTGGTAACATTGCCAAACTAACCGTAATACAATTAATTAAATTTGGAATCTGTTGTTTGCTGTGTTTAATTTATCAGGAATCACTATCAACGGCATTTCGGTTCTCATGTATATCTTGCACATAAAATGTGAATTGACAATAAAATATCTTTGAATCTTGAATCATCATTTTTATACTTGTACTTATACTTACTTAGATATTTCACATTTCACTGTACATTTTTACATTTACTGCCCTCTGAAACTGCTACTCTTTCATTAAAACCTACTGCACAAACAATCCATTTTCTGCCCAGGTTAAGGGCTTCTTATTCGCAG